GGGACAGGTTCTGACTTCCTGTGACAGGATGGAGACAGATTATCACTTCCTGTGACAGGATGGAGACAGATTATCACTTCCTGTGACTGGATGGGGACAGATTCTCACTTCCTGTGACAGGATGGGGACAGGTTCTCACTTCCTGTGACAGGATGGGGACAGGTTCTCACTTCCTGTGACAGGATGGGGACAGGTTCTCACTTCCTGTGACAGGATGGGGACAGGTTCTCACTTCCTGTGACAGGATGGGGACAGGTTCTCACTTCCTGTGACAGGATGGGGACAGGTTCTCACTTCCTGTGACAGGATGGGGACAGGTTCTCACTTCCTGTGACAGGATGGGGACAGGTTCTCACTTCCTGTGACAGGATGGGGACAGGTTCTCACTTCCTGTGACAGGATGGGGACAGGTTCTCACTTCCTGTGACAGGATGGGGACAGGTTCTCACTTCCTGTGACAGGATGGGGACAGGTTCTCACTTCCTGTGACAGGATGGGGACAGGTTCTGACTTCTTCCTGTGACATGGAGACAGATTATCCCTTCCTGTGACAGGATGGGGACAGATTCTCCCTTCCTGTGACAGGATGGGGACAGGTTAAAGCTTCCTGTGACAAGATGGGGACAGATTCTCACTTCCTGTGACAGGATGGGGACAGGTTAAAGCTTCCTATGACAGGATGGGGACAGGTTCTCACTTCCTGTGACTGGATGGAGACAGATTCTCACTTCCTGTGACAGGATGGGGACAGATTCTCAATTCCTGTGACAGGATGGGAACAGGTTCTGACTTCCTGTGACTGGATGGAGACAGATTCTCACTTCCTGTGACAGGATGGGGACAGATTCTCACTTCCTGTGACAGGATGGAGACAGATTCTCACTTCCTGTGACACAATGGGGACAGATTCTCACTTCCTATGACAGGATGGGGACAGGTAAAAGCTTCCTGTGACAGGATGGGGACAGGTTCTCATTTCCTGTGACTGGATGAAGACAGGTTAAAGCTTCCCGTGACAAGATGGGGACAGGTTAAAGCTTCCTGTGACTGGATGGAGACAGGTTAAAGCTTCCTGTGACAGGATGGGGACAGGTAAAAGCTTCCTGTGACAGGATGGGAACAGGTTCTGACTTTCTGTGACAAGATGGGGACCGGTTCTGACTTCCTGTGACAGGATGGGGACAGGTTAAAGCTTCCTGTGACGATAGGGGCAGGTTCTCACTTCCTGTGACAGGATGGGGGCAGGGGCTACCTACATTCAGGCCCATCATACTGTGGAGACAGCTGCCTTAGGAACCAGAGTGGAGGTGGAGCCCCTAGGCCTTGGCCGACCAGCCCAGGAAGTCCTGCCACGTGGACTGTTTAAATTCTCCAGTTGGAGCATCTACCGCCCTCGTCTTCCATCACGTCCCCCACCAGCTTGGTGAGTTTCCATCGTGCTGGGTTACTTGGGCTTATTTAACACTCACGTGGAAAGTGAGCGTGGTCTCCTTTACCGCCTACCTCAGCCTCTCTATCAGGAATGATGGCGCCCTCTCTCCTGACCAGCCTGAGTTTTAGAAAGGCTGGCCCTGGGGTGGGCTCATGGCGCTACAGGTATGTGAGGAACGGGCACACCGAAGAGTGAGCCATGCCTGGGAGGGAACCCGGAGCAGAGGGAGAAGTAGGAGAAGAGGTGGCCTGGGCCCGAGACAGCCCAGCCGCAGAGACAGGCAAGCCCAGGCCGATGGGAGCGCTCCAGGCGACCTGACCTGGGCAGTGCGGCTTCACGCTGCCCATCCCACCAGCTCACTTCCCTTCACAGCCTTCTCCTCACTCCACTGACGGGAGACAAGCTCCGCGAGTGCATGACTCCAGGCCGCAGTCAGTGGCTGAGGCAAGTCAGCCTGTCCCACTTTAAAGACTTTACATTCTCTCTCTCTTTCTCTCTCACACACACACTTGCACACACACACACACACACTTGCACACACACACACTTGCGCACACACACATGCACACACATGCACACACATACACACACTTGCATGCAGGCGCAGCTGCTTTAGAAAGGGCCCGGTGGGCCTGGCCAGCAGGTGGCGCTAGTCTCCTTCAGTGCGTTAAGCTTGCCCACCTGTGTGGCCTGTCCCCTCTCCAGGGACATGCACACACACACACTTGCACACACACACACTCGCACACACACACATGCACACACATGCACACACATACACTTGCATGCAGACGCAGCTGCTTTAGAAAGGGCCCTGTGGGCCTGGCCAGCAGGTGGCGCTAGTCTCCTTCAGTGCGTTAAGCTTGCCCACCTGTGTGGCCTGTCCCCTCTCCAGGGACAGGGTTTTGATTTGGAAACATTGACCCAGCACATGTGGATAACGGGGAACGGGAAGTGTGCATGACGTCCTGGTACAGCTTCCGCAGCCATCACACACAGCCAGCCAGACATGCCTTCCTGCTCACGGGTCCCCATAGTCCCAGCCCCACAGTCAGTCACAGAGCCCCCAGCCCTCCTGGCACTGGGCATTTCTCAGCCTGACTCCTAGGCCACTCGCTGCCCAAGGGCGTGGCGGGCGCCCTGGCTTTATCTCCGTGCCCAGCATGGGCGCGGCACCTCCTGTGTGTTGAGCAAATGTGCACGAATCAGCATGGCCCCATTTTCCTTATCGGTTTCAACATCAACCTTTCTACCGAGCAGTGCCCTGATGTACCGAATCGCCTGAACACCTGCTGCTGCTTCTGGCAAACCTCCTGCAGATGGGGAAGGGCACGGTCTTCATGGGTCTAGACCAGGGGTGGGCAAACTTTTTGACTCGAGGGCCACAATGGGTTCTTAAACTGGACCGGAGGGCGGGAACAAAAGCATGGATGGAGTGTTTGTGTGAACTAATATAAATTCAAAGTAAACATCATTACATAAAAGGGTACGGTCTTTTTTTTTTTTTTTTAGTTTTATTCATTTCAAACAGGCCGAATCCGGCCCGCGGGCCGTAGTTTGCCCACGGCTGGTCTAGACTGAGGCGGGTCCATCACCACATCTATCACAGAGCAGAGGAGAGCCAGCCCCTGGTCCCCGCGCCTCGGTGTCTACCTCATCGTGCATACGAGAAAAATGTGCCCCAATTTTTCAGTCACAACACCCCACATTCCATGAAAAAGTAATTTTGAAAGCCACCACATACCAGACAAAAAAGGTCCTCAAGGCCCTGTCCTTCTCCCGGGACACAGGGCCATTCTGGCCACCCCAGGCTGGGTGACGCTTGCCGCTGTCCCTGACTTTCACGCTCTTGGAGACAAGCCCCAGGAGCCGCCAGGGCAGGGCCTCACCCCGTCTGCCGGCAGCTGCACCCTCAGGCCAAGAGCCGTGCCAACCAAGAACCAAGGCTGCCCAGCCCGCTCTGCCTTCCGAGACCATGAGTCTCAGGAGGCTCCGCTGAGGAGAGAGGATTTCCAGTTCCACCCCAGGCGCCGGGACCTGGGGACACCCCTCAGGCGGGCAGGGCAGGGGGGACTGTGTGGTCAGGATCTGAACAGCCTGCTCGGTCCGCGAGGCCCAGCCCTGTGGTCTGTGGCCAGCCTGCTGGCCATGCTCCAGTTACTGCCCTTGGTCACCAGGGACACTGCCCAGGAGACCGCATGGAGAGAGGGAGGCTGAGGCCCAGCGAGAGCGAGGGAGGCTTCGACCTTGCCCCTCGAGGGCCCTGAACAAGCCGCTCTCGCTGAATGGCAACCACAGACGGGCTGCCTCCAGCCTTCCTAGTACAGCTCTAGTACAAACCGCGTTCTCAAGGTCATAGAACCAGTTCTTTAAGAGGATTTGTGAAGAGGAAAGACATGGGCTGTAAAACAGAAAATTCCACTGACGTCACTTGTCAGTGACTTGTCACTGTGCTCCCACTAAGGGATCAGTGCTCCCGTGGCCTCTGAGGAAGCCCCCTACTGGACCAGGCAGCCCTCGACTTGGACTCCAGGCTGGTCAGTGATTCCTCAAGAGGGGCCCAAACAGGAGAAACTGTAACCAGACAGATTCCCGGGAGCAGCAGTGGTGTCCCGTGACCATGTGGCCCATCGGAGGGCCGAGGAACCCAGCGGCCACACGGCTGGCCCCCAGAGTGAGGCTGCAGGGAGGCCGCAGAGCCTCTGCATTGACGCTGGGTAGAGGAAACCGCAGCCGGCGGACCGCCCTCCTGGCCACCACTGCGCTCTAAGCCCAGCGCTCACTGGGCTGGCGCCTGGGGCTCGTCCCTGCCGGTGCTCACTGGTCCCCAAGGCCTTGCCAAGCAGGGATGACAGATGCAGCAAGGGCTCCTGGGTGGCAAGAGACTGCCCGAGGCCACGGCACTGAGGAACAGGAGAGCCACAGACTGCCAGTAAAATAGGCCTTGGGGTGCCCACCCACACCCCGCAAGAAGTGAACTGGAGCGAGCTTTATGGAGCGGGCTCTGCCCCACAGTCACAGGTCATCCAACAGGAGCCCAGAAGGGGGGCGTCCCCACTCCCTGTACCACTGAGGACATGGAGGACATGAGGGGACCTGCCTGACTACAAAGCCGTATCAGCATCCCAGGTGGTGAGAACAGTCATGGGCCTCGCCTGGCCTCCTCAGGTCGGGACCCTCTCAGCTCCATTCTCCGCCTGTGCCGCTGGGTGGCACCAGTGAGCAGGAATGGGCCTTCATACAGCAGCCACCTTCCCTGGAGGGGCCCCCGGGAGCTGCCTGCTGCCTCTCGCCTTTACAGTGGGTGGGCCCACGTCCTGCCCTTATTTATGAAGAATGACGATCCCCCTCTTTACCAGCCCAGGGAGCAGGCGATGAATCCATGAGGTGGGGACAGACCAGGCCTTCGGGCATCAGCCGCTCAGTGAGGCTACGCTGCTCCTTGCTGAACACCCCAGGTCATTGCTGGGAGCTCCTTCCTTCTGTTTCATGGGTGTCTACACCCCACTGTGGTCGTGCCCTCCACCCCCTCCCTCTCTGCCTGCCTCAGTTCTTCCTGCTTCATTTAAGCATTGCCTAAGCCAAGCACCCCCTGCCGCCACCCCAGCTATGTGGGGGTCCTCCTTGGTCTCAGCACCGCTGAACTCTGGCCATTGCTGGTTTTGCAGTGCTGCTAGTGGGCAGGGGCTGGGGGCCTCTCAGCCCAGGTGCCTGCACCCAGTAGGCCTGCGATGAATGTTCCCCAAGCAAGTCAGGAAGTTTCTCCCACACTGAGGGTGGCGAGGGCTTCCAGAGCGCACAGCAACCGAAGGGAGGTCTGCAGATTTCACACAACCTCGGCGCGCAATGCCAACCCGCCCAGCCGCAGCTCAGGAGGCGTGAAGACCCGCACAGGGCAGCCTCCTGCCTTTTACTTTCCTGGCTTGTGTGTTAGAGGCCGGCGGCAAACAGCAGAGGTGGACGGAGCTGTGGGAGGGGGGACTTACAATGACAAAGGGCAGCACAGCCTCCATGAAGGACACGGGCTTCCTTAACCAGAGGAGGGCCACCGCCCGCTGGCCATTGCGTAACCACAGCCTCTTTGGAAGGCTGCGCGCTGGCAAGCCCAGTGCTGGAGCGCTCTCCCGACCAGCCCAGGAAGGAAGCGGGTGCTGGGTTCCAAGTAGACAAAACACGGTGGGGGCACAGAGCAGCCCCGGGGGACGGCGAGGCTGCCAAGGGCCTGGGCTGTCTGAGTCTGGCTGGAACCTGCTCAGGGTTTCAACACGCTGGAGGCCAGGCCAGAACCAGGAGCCAGGGCCCTGGGGCTGAGCAAGTGGACGCTGGGGCCTGGTGTACTGATCCTCCGGTGGGAGGAGCAGGCTCAAGGTCAAGGGGCCAAGCCCACAGTCAGCCTGGCTGGGTGCTGGCTTGGAGCCATGTCCAGGGGCTGGAGGACAGCTCACGTATGCACATTCCTGAGATTGTCTCCCACCGGGGAGCTTTTCCTGAAACAACTGACCATGGTGCTAACCGAGACGAAATAAAACCAGGATGGTGTGCGGTGGACCCAGAGACCTCACTGCTCCCTGGGGAAGGGGGATCCCTGACATCCTGCAGGCAGCCCAGGGGCCTGGGACGGTGGGCTCACATGGCATATGGCCACGGAATCTTCCACACGATTCCCACAGCCACTGGGCTGAACACAGTCCGGCTTTCAGACGGGTTCTCCTAATACTGACGCCTCAACCTGTCACGTGGGCCCACCTGGCGTCATCGCCACCTTCACCTGATTTAGAGCATTCTGACATTTGTGCCTTACAGATGAGGAAACTGAGGCCCAGAGAGCTGTCCCCAGACCAAGTTTCCCACTGGGAAACAAGAGGGCTGGGTTCTGCCTGGCTCCACGCACAGGCTGCTGGGAGAGCAGGCCCGCCGACCTCCAGCTCCTGGGAGACCTTGGTATCTGTGACCAGTCTCCCTGGCATTCAGGGGCCTGAGAATCTGGGGTCGAGTTTCCCGAGACCCCTGCGGGGGGCACACTCATTAACCACCTGCCCAGGCTGGGAGGCGGACCCCCAGGAAGGCCGACACAGACAGACAACTGACGGCCGAGGGACTTACGTGTCCGCGGAGCGACGGTAATTCTCCGGACACTCGAAGGCCAGACAGCGGAAGCTGCCCTGGATGTTGAAGCACGTCTCATTGATGGAGCAGTTGTGTATGCCGGTCACACACTCGTCAATGTCTGCAACAGACCAAAGCAACACAGTGAAGGCCGAGGCGACCCGAGCAGTCCCCACCCACAGACGGGGGTGCTGGGGCCTCCCACCAGCCAGGGTCGGGTGGGGATCGGGCCATCCTTGCCCTCCGTTGACAGCTCTCTGGAGCAGCGCCCTGTGCCAGCTCTTTTATTTCTAGGACGTTTAATTTATAGCGTTTACTGATTATTCACAATCCCTGGAATGAGCATAACAATGATTACAGCTAACACTCTGATGCCCTGGAAATGCTTCACCGAGTTCTCTTAATTCTCCTAACAATTCACTGAGGCAAGGACTGTTTCCCTCATTTGGGGGGAGCTGGCCTAAGGGCAAACATCTTGTAAGCCGAGCTTTGAACCCGGGCAGGCTGGCGCCAGGGCCCACGCTCTGACCAGCCAGCGCCTCTCCGCAGCTCCCGAGGATCATCGCCCTCACCTTACGTGACTCAGAACATCCCAGCGAGGAAAGAGTGAAGCTGCGAGCCCCGTGTTACAGATGAGGAAACCGAGGCCCAGTGCGATTCTACGTTGTGCCAGGTGTCCAGGGTCAGCGATGCCTGGGCTGGACCCTGGACATGGGAGCCTTCCCCCTGCCCACAACTCTCCGGATCAGCCAAATGGTGGGGCCCAGGGGACATCACCAAGCCAGGAGGCATCTCTTAAGAGGGGCCGAACGCCTGACCTCAGTGGAGAAAGTAACACTTCTAATCTCACTGGCCCAGAGCCGGGGCTCAGGAATGTGTTTTTGCTGCGTCTGGCAGGACCCCGGGGCTGTGATGAGGGAGTCTGGCCGGGGCAGGGAAGTTATCTGCTCCCTCAGAAATGTGAAAACAGCCCGGACCAGCTGCAGGGGCCTCCCAGGACACGCCCAGCTGCTGCCTTGGGTCAGGGTCACCTTCCTCAAAACCAGAAATGACATCTACAGAACCGGAGCCTCCAGAGCCTCTGGGTCACCAGCCCATGTGGGGGCTCTGGAGGAAGGGGCCGGACAGATCTGACCTCCAGACTCCGCCTCGGGGCGGATCCCGGAGGTAAGGCAGTGACCAGGCAGGCCACTCGCTCACAAAGATCTCCTCAGCACCCGTTACCAGGACAGGCACGGGCCGCAGGATGACCCCGGAGCACATCACATATGGGAGCCCAGTGTCCCCTCATCCGTCCAGGTCAGAGCCAACCCCCAGCCCCAATGGACCCTCCCAGCCCTAGAGACCCTGGAGTTGTCACACAGCCAGACCACACCCTCCCCTCGTCTGGGCAGGGGTGGGGACCTTAGCTCCACCATCTGCTCACTGCTTGCCCTTAACACCTAGCAAGGTCTGGGGTTTGTCAAATGACTGAGTGTGAACTCAGCAAACGTGCTGTGGAAGAGTCCTCGGTGAGGACTTCCCTTTCCCTCCCAGGCGGGCCTCTTCCTAAAGGCCATCAGCCCCTGGTCCAGCCCTGGGGCTGCCGAGGGCAGGGTGGAGGGCTCAGAACCCTCTGTGGTCAGGGGTGCTGGGAGTGGGGGCAGGTGTGGGAGACCAGGGTACCCGTGGAGGCCTCCCCTCCCCTCCCTGAATGCACCCCACCGATGGTGTGGCCAGGTCAGCCCCAACACCAGAGCCCCAAGCGTGCCCTGCACCCACGGAGCCCAGCTCGCTCACCCTGGCAGTTGCGTCCGTTGGGGGCCAGCCTGTACCCAGTCGGGGGGCAGCTGCACTGGAAGCTCCCGGGGAAGTTGATGCAGCGGTAGGAGCAGATGTGGCCCCCGGTGGGCAGGGCGCACTCGTCGATGTCTGCAACAGCAAGGCCCACCCTCAGCGCCCGTGTGGCCCAGGCCAGGCCGCGTGTTCCCAGGGGCCCAGGCTGGGGCCGGGGAGGGCAGCCGCACAGGGCCAGCTGGACATGGGAGCCCTCGAAGTGCAGGGGCTGGGGAGGGGCCCAGCTGGGGCCGGGGAGGGCAGCCGCACAGGGCCAGCTGGACATGGGAGCCCTCGAAGTGCAGGGGCTGGGGCGGCGTCGGAGATCATCACATCAGAAGGGGAAACGGGCCCAGAGAGGGGAAGGAACTAGCCTCGGGCCACACAGCAAGCTCATGTGGGGAAGGAGGCGGGATGGGGGGCTGAGCAGAGGGGACAGGCAGGGCTTCAGAAAGACCCCAGGTCAGGAGCCCTGCCACCGGTCAGGAGCCTGCACTGGCAGGGGCCCTGGTGCTCAGCATTATGAACGTGCTGATGAAGACCCTCCCAGAACGGCAACAAGCCCAGCAGCATCCAAGCCCTCGCTGGGCCAGGCGCTATAGGAAGCGCTTCTGACTCATCACCAGGGTTCATCCTCCGATTCCCTGGAGAGTGTGGGGCACACCCCATGCTGAGGAGGAGGGCCCAAGCCAGTGAGGGGCCCTCAAAAGTCAGGGATGTGGGTGGCCCCGAGCCCCCTCCTCACCCCTGGGGGTCCCGGCACACACGGTGATCACCACCGTTACGTGTTTATTAACGAAAAACATGGCGAGTGGCTTAGCTTCTTTCCCAACCTCACTCTCAGGGCGGGTAAAGGACACCCAGTAAGTCTCAGGTGGAGGGGAAAGCAAGCGGCCCACCCGCAAAGGCGCTGCACAGAGCAGACTCACCTTCGCAGGTGACCCCGTCCACATCGCTGAGCTGGAAGCCGCGGCGGCAGTAGCACTGGAAGGAGCCGTAGACGTTGGCACACTCCTGGCTGCAGGGGCTGCTGGTGCATTCGTTCACATCTGAAAGAGAGGGTGCCCGGGGTCACCTCAGAGCCATGGCCCACGTCCCTGGGGCCATGAACAGAGGCAGAGAGCCGGAGGTCCTCGAGTGCGGGGCTGGGGGTCGCCAGGAGTCCCCAGAAAGACAGAGGGCTGGATCCCCCATCCCCATCACGGCCTGCCTCCAGCTGCACCCTCTCCCGTTGGGCGGCAGTAACAGCCTCTGGCCTCAGCTCCTTCTATCCCACCGTCGCCTGGTACCAGAGTCCTTCTAGCTCTCATGGAATGTGATCATGTCCTCCCGGCTTCACGTCCCAGACAAGGTCCCCTGCACTGAGGGCCTGCATGACCCTGTTGGTACGCCAACACCCAGTACTCCAACGCTCAGAACTCCTCGGGCCACTCAGCAACTCTGGGCTCTCGCTCATCTATTCCCTTTGCTTAGAGCAGGAATCAGCATACATCGGCCCCCAACTTGTTTTTGTAAATAAAGTTTTATTGGCACACAGCCACATGCATTCATTTACTGCAATCTAAGGCTGCTTATCCCCTATAATAGGACAGATCTATTAGAGTTGAATAGTTCCAATAGAGACTTTGGCTAGTAAAGCCTAAAACATTGACTAAGTGGCTTTTAGAAAGAAAAGCTTGCCAACCTCTGCTCAGAAGTCTCTTCTCATATTGAGTTACCGCTAATTCTTAGCAGGGCAGGAGGGCCAAGCACCTGAGAACATCCATTAGCCGCTTCCCACCCCCACCCCCCATGTTC